AGCAAAAACTAGCCCAGTCGATTAAAAACAACCGATAGTTTTAATTTAATTCAGACGACAACAGAAACCAAAATGATGGAGCTGAACACTGTTTACAGAAAAGACAGCAAAATGATGGCGAATGTACGAAGCTGAAGTTGCCAGCAGCTTCTTAGTGGAATTTTCCGTTCCACCTTAAATGATGCAGCAGTTACGTTCAGGTCATTTAAGATGGAACAGCAAATTTCAATACAAAGCTGGTAAATAAAACGTCAGCCTTGTGGTTAATGTTGTGCTTCTTTTGCCTGCAGAAGCTGTTAAAATCGGTCAAACAGACAGAGCTGTGGTTCTTTTGTTTTGCTACCATGAGGATAATGGTCAGTTCGCCTGGTGCCTTTCTCCAGTACGATGGAGTTTAAGCGCTGAGCTGGGCGCGTTGATGCTGTTGAAGCTTCGCTTGTTTCCAGCTTATGGAGGCGAACTTGAGCTCTGATGCTTCTCTTGTCTTCTGAAATAAAATAAGCTGAGCATAAGCAGAGTAACAGACAGTTGGCGACGTTGCTGTTTATTCTGTTTATGGCAGGAATCCATTCACATGAAAAATAAGTCCAATCTGCAGTCAGACTCTCCACATTTCTTCCACTTTGGATCTCGAGTCTCCCCGAGTCATGACCCTCAAGTCCGAGTCAGAGTCTGAGTCACTGGTGTTGAAGTCAAAGTCGATTCCCAAGTTTTTCTTGATTTTCTTGAGTCGAGTCCGAAGTCATCAAATTCATGACTCGAGTTGGACTCAAGTCCAAGTCATATGACTCGAGTCCACACACCTAATAACCTCCCCTTCTAGGTTGCTCTCACCTTCCCTTCCCCTTGCCATCATAAAGAGTTTGACTCATTTAAAGCCCGTTGAGGATGGCACGTGTTAATGTAACAGGCCAGACGGAATGTGACGTGTGTGGAGCTCGAAGGTGAAACCTTCACATCCTCCCTCAGTCAGTTTGTCTTTTGTTGAGTCCTCCTCGTGCGCTAGACAGAGACGGAGGGTCATGGCTGTGTTTGGTGATTCAGCAGAGCGGAGCGCCGTTCCCCTCTCCTCCCGGTTTATTTAACTTCTCTGCAGTTTAAGCAGAGGGCCAAGATGACATTTTAGCCTCATGTTCACTCCTTCAAATAAATCTGCTCGTGAAACCGTGTGCTTAGTTTGGACTCGTGGAGTACTATCAGGCGCCAGTTCACGTCACCTGGTTAAAGTTCGATCAAATCTTGATCTGGCTTGTAAATCGTGTTGGTTCTGCAGTAGTGAGGCCATCTGGCCTTTATAAATAAGGTGATTACAAAATGATCTGGCAGGCTTAGGGGTGTCGGTGGAGTAAACGTCTTATTCTGTCACTCTTATTGTACAGGAATGTACAATAGTTTTACATAGCACTGAACACACACACACACACACGCACACACACACACACACACACACAGCCACACACACACACTGATGGGGTGAAGCAGGGCAGTTCTCTTTGTCTGCTAAGTGCTTAATGGCCCTCTGAAGGGTGAAGGCATGATAATTAGGCACATCAAGGCATCCTCACCACTGTCCATAAGAAAAGCAGCCACCCCCCTAACATCCTGAGAGCTGTGCTTCTGAAGAGCCGTAGCTCCTAGCGCAGAGATGCAGGACGCCACGGCGTTACCACAGAAACCTGCTTTTATGTACACACATTCCCGGCTCATTGTCTGTCTGTCGCGAGAGCTTTAGGATGACCAGGACGGCCCATTACAGACAGACAAGTACCTCTCTCTGTCTTCACCCCTTCACCTCCCTTAGGTAGCTCTTTCATGTTGCCATTTTGTGTTTAAGGAAAGTGGTTATTCAGCCAAGAAAGGAGGCTGTATTAGATAGCCATGCGATGCAGTCTTTACATAGTTTAAAGTTTGAATTAGTTTCGGAGTTGTTTTACCATATATATATATATATATATATATATATATATATATATATATATATATATATATATATATATATATATGTACATATAATGTTTCATGATGAACAATATAATGACCAAAAATGACTTAGAAAAAATCTGGTTCCACTGAGTGACATTAAAAGTAAAGAAGGTTTTTTCCTTTTAATGTAAAGTTACCATTTTGGAGATACAAGGTTTTCTTCTGACAACAGCGATATATCGTTGATGCCCAAAGAAAAACAAGTATCTCCAAAATAGTGACTTTACAGGAGAGGGCAAAAACACTCTTACCTTTCAATGTAAGTTAATGTAAAATGATTTTACAAGTGATTTTAGAGCATTTCTATTGGTCCATTAATCATGAAATTTTCACACAATGTAAAGGACAGTTGGTGTATTGAAATGATGTAGAAAAGTAAAAATCATCAAAAATGGAGATACATGGTTTTCTTTGGACAAACAAGCTCACAAGTTATCAATTACTTTTTTTTTCAAAATACGAAATTCTTGTTACTTTTTACTGTTTTATGTGTGTTTACATCTATTCTAATAATATATATACTTTTATGGGCCGAAACACACTTCCTGTCAAGATACACTGAGGTAAATATGGTCCTTAGGTGCCTAAAACATTTGCACAATGATATACAATGCTGTTCGAAAGTTTGTGATCCCTAAAAAAATTTCTACATAAACGTGCTCAGGTCTTTTAAGTCTCATTTAAGTCTTAACAATAGAAAATGAGAACCTAATAAAACAGACAACACAAACGATTAGTTTTTTATTCATTAATTGAACAAAGTGATCCAGCATTATATATTTTGGTTGGCAAATCCTCTAGAACTGTCAATGTGCTATAAGTGATAATTAGGGTCAGGAGGTTCAGTCAATGGGATGACAATCATGTGTGAGTGTGGCTGACCCGACCCTATTTAAAAAAAACATCAACCTGAATTTTCACTGTTAAAGTCTGGACTCTACCACACACATCTATTAGTACATGCCATTTCTCAGTCAAAAGAGATCAAATGAAATTCTAAAGATCTCTGAAAAACACTTGCCATTGCTCATTAGGCTGGAAGAGGTTCCAAAAACAATTTCTGAAGTGTGTTGACTTCACTGATCCACTGTCAGCACATAATTTATACATGAAGGAAATTCGAAATGATTGTTACTCTTCCTATGAGTGGCCATGCAGCAGAAATGACTCCAAGAATAAGCTGCATAACATTCTGCGAGATCACAGAGAAATCCAGGTTAACATCTAAGAATCTGCAGGCCTCTCACACACTGGCTAGAGTCATGGTGCTCTTGAGTCCACTATCAGTCAAACACTGAACAAGAATCGTACCTAGGGAATGATAGTATAGAGAAAGCTCTCCGGGGGAATATTTCTGCCTGTTTAAAGTTTCCTAAAGACCACCTGGATGAGCCAGAAGACCACTAAAATAATGCTATGTGCATGGATAAGGCAAAAATACATTTTATGGCTTAAATGAGAACTGTTATGTTTGGCAAAAACCAGATACTGCATTCCAGCATAAGAACCTCATCACAACTTTGAAACATGGTGGTGGCAGTATCATGGTTTGGGGCTGTTTTGCTGCTATTGGAACCGGACAGCTCGTCATCATTTGATAGAACAATGAATTCTGGATTGTATCAAGAAATTCTACAGCATTTGTGCTGCAGAGTGGAGCAGCGAGAAAGTTAGACAGACATTCCTTTTTCCGGACAGACAAATGGTCACATAAGTCACTCTGCTCAATAGAAACATAATTTATAAAAGTGCACAGTATATTTGTTTGTCCTCGACAGCATTCTGATTAGGCAAAAGTTTTAAACCCGGTAGACATACCGGGAAATCTGTTTGCAGCATGGAATGATTAAGTAGTATTTCATTGTTTTTTTGTTTAATGTTCATTGATTTTCATGGCTTATTTCAGTGTACAGCGTGATTAAAAAAGATTCATCCGATTTCAAAATGATTTATTTCACTTGTAAATCATTACAGAACAACGCAGTGAACTGTAAATGGTTTAATTGAGCATAAAGTTTATTATGTAATTTTACAAGGTCTCAGTATGAACCTCCTCCAGCTGTACAGACAACATCAACACCACAGTCAAATTCAACCCATACTCGATTGAGCATGTCGGGTGTCACTGCACTCACAGCTCTTTCAGTGCGATTTCGGAGATCATCCAGTGCTGTGGAACTAACGACGAACGCTCTGAGCTGTTAGCGGTTCACTGCCCACCAAAATCACATTGCACAGTTATGACGGATTCACTCTTATTGAAGTGAAGAACGCAAAACGCTTACTGCTTAACAAAAATGGAGATTTTACGACAGCAACAATGTGTATATCGCTGCTGTCGGAACAAAACCTTGTGTCTCAATTTTTGTTGTTTTTCAGTTTTTGGCATAGTCTGAAAATGCCTGTTGCCCTTTACATTGTCCATAAATTTCATGATGAATGGCCCAAAAGAAATGCCCCCGAATTACTTAGAAATAAGTCTGGTTCCATTGACTTACTTTAAAAGTAAAGTATGTTTTTTCCTTCTCCTGTAAAGTTACCATTTTGGAGATAGAAAGTTTTGTTCCAACCGCAGTGATGTATATATTTGGCTTTTTTATTCGAATTTTGATTCTCTGCTTATTGCTTCTGAATTTCAATAAACCCACATTGTAGAAGTGATGGTAACCTTAAATGAGAGGAGAGGTAAAGACAGAGAGAAGGAGGAAAAGAAAAAATAGAGAAGAAAGGAGAGGAGGGGGACAAACGGGTGGGCAGACACAAAAGGTTGGGAGTATTTGGACTTGTTGTTCGGGGAGGGATTTTTTTGTCGGGGTCCACGGGTCAGTGGTAATGTCAGTGTTCTTTTTGTGTGTATAAAGGGCCCTGTGGCAGAAACATTAAGCTAATTTACACCTCTCATAAAAATCACACGTCCATCTCCAGGAGCCTGCTGGAGGATTGTTTGTAGTGGAGAGCGTGCACGTCTTTCAGCTGTAAATTAACATCCCCCTCTTTCTCTCCCTCTATTTCTGCAGATGGGATGAACTGCATGAATAAGGATCATGGCTGCGCTCACATCTGCAGGGAGACTCCTAAAGGTGGTGTGTCGTGTGAGTGCAGGCCTGGGTTCGAACTGGCGGAGAACCAGCAGGACTGCAGATGTACGTACCGCTCAGTTTGACCACTTCACCAGCAAAACTCACATCTAACAGTGTAGAAATCTGTCTTTCTATACTTACTGACTCTTTTCCAAGGCCTGGCCAACTGCTGCCCTTCGTAACAAAGAGTTTTGGGTCAAGCTGGTGTGTTAGGAGGGAGAATTTAGTCTTGCTCCTGTACTTGCAGCAGAAGTAGGACATAACACTGCAAAAAACAGTACGTTGTCAAGTAAAATAACCTTAAATCTGGTCGATATATCCAATATTTCTCCTGTTGAGATTGTTGTAAGCTTATTTTAAGATTATTTAACTTATTTCCAAACATTTTTTACCTGTTTTAAGTCACTTTATTAAGTAAAATTGTCTCACTATATTGGCATAATTTTGCTTTTTTTAAGATATGTGCTTAAAACAAGCTAAATTGTCTGCCAGTATAGTAAGATAAATGTGTCTAGAAATAAGCTACATAATCTTATAAGTGCAAAACCATCGTAAAATAAGAAATGTAAGATATATCAACTAAAATTAAGATAATTTCGCTTGACAAGACCTCAAAGGTCAATTTTTTTATGCAAACCTGTTGAAGGAAATTACTTTAATTACTTTATGCTGGTGGCAAAATTTGGTAATTTTATTCCAAACTTGACTTATATGGTAATTATTCCCTTATTTTACTGCACTGTGAGTGGTCATTGGCCACATGTCAGTCCAGTCAGAGTATCAAAGCATCTTTTAGACCATCCAAGTCAGGTGTGCAGTTGAAATCATCTGAATTTGTTTGTTTTGCTTACATCTATTAAAATCACATTGGAAACCTGTGCAGATGGTCTAGCTTTAGTACGTCAAATAGTTGCTTTGTTTTGTATTTTGCATTTTTGGAGGTATGTCTACTTCATTAAAAGCAGTCGATTTCCCTTTAATTCCAGAGGAAATTAAGGCTACGTTCACATTACCAGTCTGAAGTGGCATAAATCTGATTTTTTTCGCCCTAATGTGACTCAGATCTGGTGTTTTCAGGGCTGTGTGGACACGCAAATCTGATCTTTTCAAATCCGACCTGAGACACTTTCATATGAGGTCCTGGATCGGATACGTATCCGATTCGTGGCCATGCGATCTTAATGTGACACTGAGATCGGAATTCATGTGTTTTTTTTCCACTGCGTGTGCGCCATCATTCAGCGTTACCATGGCAGCAGCGCCGAACAGAAGTTAAAGCCTGTAAACAGTGGAAAAGCAGCTCATCTCACCTTTTTCACCTTCGTCTCGCTCTAATAATGAAGCTGAGAGCTGATCAGAGTTATTTATCCTCTCAGCGAAGCTCGTTCTGCTCGTTAGCTTGTTTACTGATGACACACGTGATTCATTCAGAGTAGGATGTGTGCAAGCGGGTCATTTCAGGACGCCGGTTCGTTCACATTAATGACAGATTTGCATCACTTATCTAAACAAGTGTGACCCATCATGTCAGATTTGAGCAAAAAATGGGATTTGAGCAATGAGGCCTGTAATGTGAACATAGCCAAAGTGATTTTTGTGTACAAAACCTAACATTATATTAAGATTTTAATCATTGGCATCCAGCCTATAAAGATCTGTCTAATAAATTGGAGTAATATACAAAGATTCTGCCCATAAAAGCAAAGGAAAATAAGACTTTTAGAGGAAGGTAAGATTTTTGTTCTGATGGGTGAGTCAGGTGTTTTTGCCCTAAGAGAGAAAGGTGATTAGGGTAAGAAGTAAAGTGAAACAGATCATGGAGCAGTGGCCCTTCCATGAACACTTGAACTCCCATCTGAACCAATCCACTAGACAGCAGTCTGGGGGGAGAGAGAGAGAATCAGCTTTTTATTAGTTACACTTAGTTTGGCAACACACCATGTTCCACAGAAGTTCCAAGAGTGAAATATTGTGAAACATTTTAACATCCTCGATTAAAGAGGAGCAGGGGTATATCCTACGTGTGCATGTGTGTGTGAATGTTTTGGGAAGTGTTCGGTGTTAGTTTATTTCTGTACAATTTATTCGACACATAAAACAAATTAATGTTTGAGTTGTGACAGTGCATACGGCAGTTTTATGAGCGGGTGTGCTATTGGTGGAAAAGCCATTGAGAAGACTGGAGGAGAGGAGAACTCTCTCAGGGAGCTTTAGTCATACAGACAGTGCTGTTTTCTAACATTACAGACAAAAGCAAGCAAAGGGCCCGAGCAGGATGTAGGAGTTTGTTATGCATATCATACACTCTTTAAAAAGATGGTTCTTCAAAGGTTCTTTAGTGACGTTCAAGAAATGGTTCTAGATAGAACCATGATCACTAAAAGAACAAATTGCATGAATAAAGGGTTCTTACATGGTGACATTGTTCTATATAGCACCGAGCTTATAGCAATAGACGAACCCTTTTGATGCTATATAGAGCCCTTTTCAAAAAAGGTGCTATATAGAACCACATACAACACATTCTTCATCAATCTAAAGAACCATTTCATGATGCAAGAACCCCTTTTTCATGAAAATGTTTTTTTAGTGTTCGTGGTTCTCTATTGAACCATGCTCTTTAGTAAAGGAAATGGCTCTACGTAGAACCATGAACACTAAAAGAACCATTTGCTTGAATAAAGGGTTCTTGCATGGTGACATGGTTCTATATAGCACCAAAAGGGTACTTCTGTTGTTACAATGTCCAGCTTGTAGCAATAGAAGAACGCTTTTTGATGCTATACAGAACCCTTTTCAAAAAGGTGCTATATAGAACCATATACAACACATTCTGCATGAATCTGAAGAACCATTTCATGATGCAAGAACCCTTTATTCATGCAAATGGTTCTTTTAGTGTTCATGGTTCTATACAGACCCATGCTCTTTAGTAAAGAAAATGGTTCTATATAGAACCATGAACACCAAAAAAACATTTGCATGATTAAGGTGTTCTTGCAAGGTGAAATGGTTCTATATAGCACCAAAAAGGGTTTCTCTTTTGTTATGATGTCAAGCTTATAGAAGTAGAAGAGCAATAGAAGAAACCTTTTTGATGCTATATAGAACCCTTTTTAAAAAGGTGGTATATAGAACCATATACAACACATTCTCCATCTGAAAAAAACATTTAATGGTGCAAGAAGCCTTTTTTCGTGCAAATGGTTCTTTTAGTGTTTATGGTTCTATACAGACCCATGCTCTTTAGTAAAGAAAATGGTTCTATATAGAACCATGAACACCAAAAAAACCATTTGCATGCTGAAAGTGTTCGTGCATGGTGAAATAGTTCTATATTTTCTCTTTTGTTACGATGTCAAGCTTGCATTTCATGGTGCAAGAACCCTTTAGTCATGTAAATGGTTCTTTTAGTGTTCATGGTTCTATATCAAACTATTTTCTTTACTTAAGAACCCTTGCAGGACCACCCTTTTTTAAGAGGGCCCAATCAGAATGTATGATTTGGTTATGCATATCATACACTTTTTATAAACATGGTTCTTCAAAGGCTTTTTAGTAAAGTAAATGGTTCTATATAGAACCATGAACAATAAAAGAACCATTTGCATGAATAAAGGGTTCTTGCATGGTGAAATAGTTCTTTTTAGGATTTTTCTAATGTTACAATGTCAAGCTTGTAGCAATAGAAGAACGCTTTTTGATGCTATATAGAAACCTTTTCAAAAAGCTGCTATATAGAACCATATACAACACATTCTCCATCAATCTGAAGAACCATTTCATGATGCAAAGAACCCTTCCAGCATGCAAATGATTTTTTAAGTGTTCATGGCTCTATAAATAACCTTTTTCTTGACTAAAGAACCCTTGAAAAACCATCTTTTTAAGAGTGTACCTTAAATGAAGTGATTTAATGTATACAGTATTACACATATAGACTTTATTTCATTCGTTGTCTCTTATAATCTACAGAAGCCTATGAATCATATGCATATTTGAGGGAGAGAGAATGTGAGTATGTGTAAGAGTGTGTGTGCATGTTTGCCTCAAGCCCCCCTCACAGTCGTTGTGCATTGCCAGTGACGTGTAACTATGGAAATGGCGGCTGCCAGCACACTTGTGAGGACACTGAAGTGGGACCAGTGTGCGGCTGTCACCAGAAATATGCCCTGCACTCCGACAGCAAGACCTGCATTGGTAAGTCTTGCACACACACACACACACACAGACTGATTCCTAGTACTAGTGCTCTGCCTTGTCGTGTGTGTCTCTGTGCAAGTTGGAGTCAGCAACCACCACAAAACTCCACACAATCTTCCAAGCTCTGGGCTCATCATATTTACATGAGGAGAGAGAGACCGAGAGAGAGAAATGAGCCATAGCACAGCTATGAGCTCAGGACAGTTTCAATAAACAGTGTAGGTCATTTGTCAGCAAGAGTTTTTGTGGGTTAGTCGAACCGTCCATATCATAGGCAGTCAGAGAGGCCTGCACTGAAGGAGTGTTGCGATTGAGTGGGGGACGTAAGAGGGTCAACCCCAGCAAGAGGCCTCATAGCTGGGAACCGGGCGCTTGTTTGGGAGACAGTGATGGCTTATGCTTGCTTTAGCTGTTAGAAGCTAATGTAATAACAGAACAGCCCATTAGTTGTGGCACTGAGACTAGAGACACGCCGCTAATTCAGTCATTCATCTTGTCTTTTTTTTCTCATGCCCTCTTTCAGTCTTCTGCACTCTCTCTCTCTCTCTCTCACACACACACACACACACACATATATACATCTATTTAATATACACACATATTGCCTTACTACTAGAGGCTAGAGAAGGAAATGAGGATATTAATGTGGCCATTGCTCTCGCTTTCGCTCTGGCCTGAGGAGAATCGAGAGAACTAGAAAGATGGAAAGAAAGATGAAGTTTGGGTGTTAGGCAGGAAGACGGTGTGTGTGTGTGTGTGTGTGTGTGTGCGCGCTGGGCTAGGGAAGATGTGCTGTGATGGAAACTTCATCACCGAAAGCCTTGAGCGCAAAACACATTCATCATCCTCATAATGGCGGAAAAGGCAGCCAGCCGGCTCGTGGACTGCTGCCATGTTCACCGAAATGGGAAAACTTTATATGCCATGCGGGTACAGCCATACTTGTGGGCGATACCTCTAAGAAGAAAAGGAAAAGGTTTTTTTCTGTGTGGGGGTCTCATTTTTTTGGGGGGGGGGAACAAATGGACTGCTGCAGGTAAGTTTAGATTTTTTTTTTTATGCTTATTTTTCTTAGCTTGTGTCTCCGTCCCGTGTTTGGCTTGGAGGTCAAATGCTTTTCATTTTAAAATATCCCAATGCCAGTGGAGAGGTTGAAGAACCCTTCCAGAAGGTTTTTGAGCAGAACATGGGGCTTCTTTTTTAACTTGGCCTGGCGTTAGTTGCTCCCTCGTGTCTGTGCCGTCTCCTCATTGGACATCGAATTGCAAAATCCGAGGCCAACTACAGCCCGATATGTCCATCCAAAGTTTCTTCCTGTCCCTGTGTGAGTTTTTACGCCCCGAGATTAACATTTAAAGCAATCATTTATCAACACTTGGGGTTTGCAAGTGTAAAATGTTCCAGAGAGAAAGTGCTCGTCTGTGTTTGCAAGAAGGATTACGCCTCTTCTGTTAGCAGCAGTCCTGCTTCTAAAATGGCTGACTGTTGAGTCGTTGTGCTGGACTGTCTGGAATAATTGTACTCAATAGCTGGCAGACTTGTTTAGCTGGGCTCACACAGACCTGTGACTTAGCCCCAGTGCTCTGGGGTGTTTTTGGACACGTCTGCATTGTTGTGAAGGGTCATCAGTCATGTGGCGCTGGCCTCACAGGATCAACATGTTCGCAGGCAGGAAGCACTTTTAGTCACTACATGTTACATTGCCCTTACCATGTATATGGCTCCACTGTGGGACCAGACAAATCCCCATAGTCTGGCCAAAATGTTCTGTCAGTGACAACACCAGGGACTAGATTTAGGGTGCTAATCTGTACAGGAACAACCTTTCTAGAGCTACCTTTGAATCTGCTGGCTCATTTGCTCCAAAGGAAGAGAGAATTGACAGTTTGGGATCAAATCTGTGACCAGTTCTGCTGATGTTTTGAATGATTTCTGCTTTACTGTTGATTTATTATGAATTGTGTCCTTAATTCTAGCACAAACAAATACACGAGTGCATCACAAACTCCTCCCAAATGCAATAAACTGAATATATGTGTGTGTGTGTGTGTGTGTGTTATCATTCCTGCTGATTACCCTACACTGGATTGGTGCCTCTGTCTGGCCATGCAGAGCCCAGTGGAGACTCTTCTGCTCTCCCTCGTCCTGCTGCCTGCTGTCCTACTCATCGCAATCTTATTTACAGCATCCAAGGAGTGAAGCAAACAGCCGCAGAGACCAGAAGAGGAGTGTAGAGACTGATCCCCCTGCATCTCTTTCTCCCACTTTCTCCCTCTCTCCCTCTATCTCTGTCTGTCTCTGTGGACCCTCGTTGTGGCCTGTGTGCGTAGCTGTGCTGTGTGGGTCTAGTCTCTCCCGATGTGTAGTGCTTCTTTAGCTCTCCCTCCTGCTAGTAGCGTTTCTCACAGGCTCCTTTCTCCTCCTCTTCCTCCTGCCTCTCTGGTGAAAGTTACTGATTGCCTGTCTTGTCTGCAATTTTAAGGGTGATTCAGACTGAAGGAAATGTAGGCACAAAGGAAAGTTAAAGAAAGTTTAAAAAAGATGAGCATACATCTCAATTGCAGCCTGCATCAAAGTAGAGCCCCCCCAACCCAAACCGAAAAGTATTGTACCCCCCTGACCGACCAATCATACAAGCTCCACCCCTGCCGGCCACCTCTTAAAGCAGCCAGCCGATGGCCTGTCCTGATCCCTGACCTTTACAACAAGCATGTATCAGTCCTGTCATATTGCGTCTTCCGTGGCTAAATGACACAAAAAAGGCCTCGACTCCACCTCCCACTCATCTGCCACTCCCTCTCTATGTAGACTGTGGTCATTCCAGTTGCATGTCTTTTATCTCTTCGGTGTTGTCGGAAGAAAATCTTGCATCTCCTGAAAGATAACTTTACAGGAGAAGGAAAAAACCTACTTTACTTTTAATGTAAGTCAATGGAACCAGACGTCTTTTCAAGTCATTTTGGGTCGTTTCTTTTGGTCCATTCATCATGAAATTTACACACAATGTAAAGAGTAACAGGTATTTTCAAATTATGTCAAAAACTGAAAAAACGACAAAAATGGAGATACGAGGTTTTCTTCCGACAGCAGCGATATATTTCTCCCCCTCTGCTCCCTTCCTCCCTCCCCCTCCTCAGTCTAACCAGCTCATACGTCTGCTACCTCTCTTCTCTAACAACACAAGCTGCCATTTGCCTGCATGAATATTTGTGTCGATGTTTTCTGTCTCTTTTTGTTTCATCCTCCCCTCTGTATTGGTATAAACATTAACAGTAACCACTGAGCTCTTTACTGTAGTGCATCCGTTCCTTTATTCATTGTAGAGGTAGTGTTTTAATTATTATTTTGTCCTGTTTTTGGTTTCTGTTGTTTTGTGCTTTCCACAACCCCTGATTGGTGGTGTCCTTTGTAAGGACCTGTTAGAGATAAAACCCAGTTCCTTATGGACCGTCTTGGAGCCATTGTATTCCTTTTTCTTTTCTGTGCCCACTGTCCTAGCCAAGACACGCACCCACACGCACACACACCCAAACATTCATTAGTGCGCACTCCACTTCCAGTTGGGTGAAGTGTCCTCCAAGCCATAACACACTGCCGCTTATAATATGCAGTACAAGACTGGAGGCTGAACAGACTTTCAGGACCCAGGCCACAACGCACTGAAGTGAACCCAACCTTTGTTGTGTTGATGGGGCCATCCTATGAACTGACCCCTCCCCCCACACCAGTGTTGTACCTGCATGCTTATTAACCATCTAAAGTAACCCACACGAGCCTGGCCGTAGCCCGCCCTCCTTTTGCTCGGAACCTAGTTTCCTGCATTGACTTGATTGTCAAAGCCAGTTGTGATGTGTTCCATAGACAAACAGGCAACCAGCGCTGCCCCCAGACTTCTGTCATCCATCTCTCCACCTCTTCCCTCCGCATGCACTTCCACCCCAAACCCCGGGTTCCTCTCATGGTCCCCCAACCATGAGACAGCATTTCTCTTTGTTTCTTCCATGTCATCTACCCCTCCTCTTTTCACCTTTCGCTCTGTTTAAGAGTCGTCCACCATGGTGTAGAAGTAATGTCTAATAGACTCCCTGACCATTCCTGTCGAACTGTCCTCCTCTCTTGCCATCCTCCAGTCATGTAGTTCATCTTTGACATATGTATCATTCCCTCTCTTTCTTCCTGTCTCCTCCTCTACTTCTCCTCTCAGTCACTGCGGTAATTGAGTGGCCGTTTGATATGGAAGACTACAACGGCAGCAACATCAAACGTCAATGTCAACATTTCCCTGAGATCCTGAGATCCCCTCCCTTCCCCCTAAGCCCCCAGGATAATTTATTAAACCTCCTGTATGTCCTCCCTACCTCCCTATCATTGTTCATGATAATTCTAAAGACTGATTTTTTTGGGAGAGTTTGATTTGATCCTCTTATTAATCTGTTTATTTTATTAACACTCTAACAGGGTTTATTGGCGCTTTTTCACAGCTTTTTTGCTTCTTGGCTTTGGTTTGTGCTCAAACGCCAAGAGGGTCAGGCAGTCTGAGTCTGGGCGTCCGGGCCGGGTCGACTGTGAGCAGGTCAGCCTGTGACCAGTCAGTCTGTCCCGCTGCTCCGGGACAAACCGACACGGGATCAGTCTAGCCTGCTCTTCAGAGGTCTGCGAGCCGGGTGTCCGAGGCCAGGCGGTCTGTGGCAGGGCTGTCTGTGCGGGGCGATGGACATTGGGCTTCTAATTAACCTACTGCTCCCTGTTTGTCCTCTGTCACTTGTGTTTTAGAGAAAGATGAGGCTGCAATTGAGAGCTCTGAGTTCAATACCACGTCAGTAGCTGATGTGGACAAGCGGGTGAAACGGCGTCTACTTATGGGTAACTCCTTTCTTCCTCTTTCTATGTGTTGCCATGGCGCTTGTGCTTATTTTCCCTCTACCCCTTATTTTCTTTCTGTCCTTTTATTTGTTTTGAGTTGCTCTCCTCCCCCCACCATCCTTGAAAGTTTCTGGTTGTTTCTGGTGTTTCTGTGTCTGACAAAGCGAGAGAATAGGTCCTCTAAACATGACAAGGTTCCTTCTGAACTTTCTCAAGCCTGCTCCCAACCATTCTCTATTCCCTTTCATAGGACTAGTATTGTTTTTTTTTTTTTTTTCAACTAATCACTTCTCACAATTCCCATGCAATTCCCATTGCAGTATACGGATTTGCTAAAGAAGACAAAAGAACTTGAGGTACTGAAAAGACAGTTTTCTCATTACTTTTTTGCAACATTGTGGAAGTTCTTAAATCTTAATTCTCTTGGTACTCAAGTACTTTCTTTCTTTAAGCTGCCTTTCATTCAGTGAGGTGTTTGATAAGACCTTCTCAGCCTTTTGGTCATACCTTAAAGGGGAATTCCATCAGTTTTTCAACATTTCTGAATATTTCAGTCCTTGAGATATAAATGGAGTGATTCAGAATAGTTTGATGAGAAATGGTTCACTTTAGAGAAACTTGCAGATGCTGATTTCTTTACAGTGGTGCTGATTGGAACCAGGGGAACCATGTGGCTGCTGTGTCTACAACACAAATATAGCCATTTTATTTACTATCTAAAACCACCAGCGAACCTACATGTGTCTTCTTCGTTTTTATATGTGATGATGATGATGATAAAATAGTGCTAAGTCTTTTTTGGGGACTGCAGCGCCCTGCATGTATCCCTCTGCTGTGAATGGACTGAAATAAATGTATTAAAATACATTTTAAGCCAAAACCTCGCACAACTATCATAAAATAGTGTGTCAGACATCAGGGAGCATATATCTAACCATTTCTTGTAACAGCTTTCTGTGAGGGAGCTTTCAGCGGCATTTAGCTCTTCAGACGTCTGGTTCCTATCACCACCACTGCGAACAATTCCGACTCAGCAAGTATCTATAGAATTCAGAAGCACTCTGAATGAGTTTGTTCACATCTCAAACATTTAACAATGTAGAATTTTTGAAAAACCAGTGGAGTTCCCCTGTAATCTATATCTTCTTAGCCATAGAGTGTATGAAGAGAGTACTTGTCTAGAAGCCTGTCATTTTAGATTGCTCACTCGACGAACAGTACTGAGCTTTTTGTAGCACTTGTTCCAACACATGAGCACTCTTCTCCATACTTGTATACTCCAGTAGGGACGAGTCTCAGAGGTTTTTGCATTGCTATGCCCTATAGCTCTAGTTCATAGGACTTAGAACTGGTAAGGCCTCCAGCATGCTGTTTAACACCTCTATATTTACTGAGGCCAACTTGATACTACTGTAGAACTCCTCGGCGAAGAGATAACATAGTCAAAGGTCCAAACTATTAACATTTAATATGAACATTTTCTTACAAACTACATGAACACCAGCACGGATGATATATAGGAATGAATAGATAAATTAAGGCTATGTTTACACAGCAGGTAAAAGTGGCCCAATCCAATCTTTTTTTCTTCATATGTGACACAGATCTGTGTCTGTGTGTCAGTGTGAACAGCAAAAACACACTGAATCTGACATTTTCAATTCAGATTTAAGACGGAACTGGTACTGAAATCCAATACGTATCCGATATGCAGCAATGCGACTCAGTCTAAACAGCCAGATTGGAATTCATGTGACTTTTACATCAATCCAGCTCCACATTCATCATCATTTCGTGCTGCTTAGACCTCATAAACGTTTAGGCTGATATTTCTGTACAAAAAAATTAGAAGAGACTTAACGCAACCACTTCGTGTTCGAAGAGATTTTGAAAGAAATGGCCAAACGTGGCCGTAGGAGAAAGAGGCTGCAGCGTCAAAGAACAGTTGAAAGTCTGAAAGCAAAGTTTAAAGAATCCAAGGACGCGAACCAAAGAAGCGACCGCGCCCTTTTTACAGCGATCTCGAACACATTCTGGGTGATGAGCCCAGCTGTCAGTCAATGAAGCTTCATGCTGGCTCCTGTGATGCTGGCGAAGATGAAACTGAACCCTCCGGGAACGACTGGCGTTCGTTGGCAGTCAAGATTGTTTACTTCTGGGGGTCAGTTTAGGAGCGTGATCTGTTCAGACTGATGTCACATATAGGACACCTTTAAAAGATAATGTTAACAGCCAAAAAAAATGGATTTGGTGAGAAAATCTGATTTGGGACACTTTTACCTGGTCTGTGAACAGAGCCTAACTGATGTTGTAATGAGCAAAGTGCATGTAGATGAGTTGCTAGAGTTTGACTGTGTCTAGGGTGGGTTAAAGGTGAGGTGTCATAGTCTCAATTTATCCATGTTCCATCTTCAGGTGATTCTAGTGTGCAGGATCGCCTTTGCAAGTATTACCACATAGTAAATACTGGGAATTCAACAGCCTGGCTGTTCATCTTCAGTTTGTGGGTTAATCTTTTTATATCTCTATTCTCAAACTGTAGATCCTGTACTTTCAGTGGATATTGGTGATCATGATAATGTAATTTTGGGTTTGTCATAAGTGGTTCGAAACAGAAAATTTGTCCATCAGGTAAAATCAAATTTTAGTAAATCAAATGAAAACCAATCAATTAGAATCTAATTTCATCAAACTGAGACAAACTGGATCAAAGCAAATGAAATTATATCAAATTCAATCTTTGCTTAGTCTTCTTCTAAGTGTGCTGCATCCGAGATACGTAGAATATTATGTAACAGGAAGACTTCCTCTCTCTCTCGCTCTCTGACTTACTTACTACCTTTCTTTCTTTCTTAATAATATTACCTTATGTGATTTTTTTTTCCCTGTAGGAGAGAGATGGACTGACCAGTAACCGACCTCGTCCTTACCAAACTTTCCGCAGCGTTCTTTACCTTTAGGCCCCAGAGAAACAGATCCCTTCTTTGCTTCTTTATTTTTGTGTATAACTTTTTCCTTTAATATCAAAACAGGTATTTATTGAAGCCGGTGCAGAAGGGTATTCTGGGAAAGCACCCTCTGTCCCCAGCCCCTACCTCTCTTTTCCGTCTGTAGTGGTCACTTTGTGTTTATTTTCCCTGCTTGATCTAATGTATTTCTCTTTCATTTTCATGAGTTTTAAGTTGCTATTAAAAACTAGTTCTAGAGCTGAATGTTCCCAAAAGATATTTCATTTTCAGATATTTGTGGTAAGTGAACAACTAAATTACTCCTAACTTCAAAAAGCTGTAGACTCCTAAAAAAGATTCGGTAACACTTTGCTGTAGGGTTCTGTTCATAAGGCTACATGACTCTTGCATAAGCTTGTCATGACAACTGACATAACCCTACATAAATGTTTATATGTGCTTATTCCAATAGGCGTCATCTGTCATAAAGGCTACTTTAGCTAACTTTGATCAATATTGACAAATGTAACCTTTACAGCAAGTCTGCCTGCTGGAATGAGCATTTATAAACAGTTATGTAGGGTTATGCCAGTTGTCTTAACAGGTTTATGTAGATGTCATGTAGCCTTATGAACAGTACCCTACAGTAAAGTGTTACCAAAGATTCTTCAAGGGTTCTTCAGTAACAGGAATGGTCCTGTTCTATATAGAACCATTTTGTGCTTAAATGGTTCTTTGTTTGGTGAAATAGTTCTTCAGGCTGATGGAGAATGTGTTGTAAATGTTTCTGTATAGCACCAAAAGGGTTCTTCTTTTGTTATAAGCTTGACATCATAACAATAGCAGAACCTTTTTAGTGCTACATAGAACCATTTTCAATAAGGTCCTATTTAGAACCATATACAAAGCAAAGAACCATTTAACCCCTTAAATGGCCAGGGCTGACCAGTGGGCCCAGCGTTTTGTTGCACACTTCTATAACCTAAGAATAGCTCAGACAGTTTGCATTGAAGCCCCTGTAGTTACTGAATAATACGCTTTAGAGTGTGGTTCATAAAAACAGAACCATTCCTTCTCCTAAAGAACCCACGAAGAACCATCTTTCTAGGAGTGTAGCTTAAGGAGCTTCTTTTAATTAAGGCAAAGGCTGAAATTTATTTGACCTAAGTATTACTGTCTCAGAACCCCGTACGTCTAATACTATTATGTTTAAAATACTGGTTGTTCTCAGTAAATATCAATAGATAGATATTTAAAAGAAAATTTAGCAATAATACTGCAATATATATATATATATATTGCAGAATATATATATATATATATATATATATATATACATGCAATACTGACTTTTTACATTTGCCTAACCCTTTAGCGGACCAGTTTACCTTAGCCTTTGCCAAAACATCAAGTTTACATCATCATCAAGATAACTTGTTACATTTAACTGACCCAACTCTAAAAGTGATGTGGACAGATAACAAAATTGCTCTGTTTTCATGGAGAAGTTTAGAGCAGCAGTGAAGACACAGAATCAATTTGTCCATTGTTTGTGGTGGTCAAAATCAGTGCTGCTAACTCTGACATGATTCAGGAATACCAGCCCAGATCAAAATCAGAATCAGAATCACTTTATTTCAGGAAGTATGTTACACGTACAAGGAATACGTCATGGTGAGTCACGCATGTATGACAAGTAACATATTAAAACAGACCTGACAAGCACACAGACTCTTAACAAATGTTTCTCTAAGGGACAAATAAAATAAAAATACAATAAATAGAATAAAGAATGACAAGGAGTCGATGTGAATGGAGCTGAAGATATGTGTGAATATCTATACATATCACTGCCGTTGGAGCAAAACCTTACATCTCCATTTTTGTCGTTTTTCAGTTTTTGACATAATTTGAAAGTACCCATGGTCCTACGTATTGTGTGCAAATTTCATGATGAATGGACCAACAGAAAAGGCCCAAAAGTACTTGGGAAAAAGTCTGGTTCCATTGACTTTACATTAAAAGTAAAGTAGGTTTTTTCCTTCTCCTGTA